CAGACTGCTCTGGCTTCTTCCATGCTGAACAGGGACACAGGGTGAGGCAATTGGAGTACCCCTTCAGTGGGTCCATCTAAAAGACTCCCAAATTGCATAGCTCTTATCTCTAAGGGGGGAAGAAAGTCCTTGAATCATGAATAGGAGATGTAAAGGAAAAGTAAAGGCAAGAGTAATTAGCATTATAAGTTCCAGACAGGGAACTAGCAAAAAGTCAGAACAAGGCAAATTTCAAATGCTCATATGAGAGTCCATTGGAATTTCTTGACAAGAGCTTCCAAAGCATCCCTCTGTTGGATTCCTCCTCATTTTCCTTTTGTCTGCCAAGGCTGGACTTGAGAGTGATGGATTCAGGATTTGCTTTCAGGCATTTTGATAGCTGTTGGAGTGGTTAGAATCAGTGTCAGTTCCCTCTCTAAGGCTTCTAGATAGGGGGAGAAAACAAATTTATCCATCATTTTAGAACAATAGCTGGTTGTCTCCCTTAGCTACAGGTGGGCACTACTGTATTCCAGACCAAGTATGGTGGTTTGAATGAAAATGTCCCCCATAGGCTCCAACTGTTTGGACATTTTGTCCCCAGATGATGGTGCTGTTTTGGGAGGTTTAGCAGATGTAGCTATCCTGGAGACAACACGTCACTGGGGGTGGGCTTACAGAGTTCTTAAGCCTTGCCAGATCTCCAGGTGCTCTCTTGCTTCCTGTGCCTGCTGGAAGATGTAGAGCTTAGCTTCTGCTCCTCTTTTCCAGCCACCTCTGCTGCCATGCCTCCCTGCCAAGACAGACCGTAATTCCCCTGGAACCGTAAACTCAAATAAATTCTTCCTTTCATAAGTTGTTTTGGTCAGTGTTTCTATCACAGCAACAGAAAAGTGACGAATACACCAAGATTTGAAGTCTTACATCTGAACAGCACTTTCTGGTTAGGAACAAAATCATCAATGAGAAATAATTGTCTAAATAACTTTTTATATAGAATTAAGCCTAATGTCTGGAAAGAATAATCCCTTGAACTCTTTAAAGAAATATACTGATGACTTTACTTTTGGTTATACTTTCCTTTTGGGTGTTTAAGACCATACAGTTGGCCCAAATAAAT